AATTCATAAATTATACACTTTATAAATAAAAATAGTGAAAAATGACATCGAAGCATAGTCCAAATTTAATATTGTTTTCGTGCTTTCTTCTTTAAAATGCGAGAAAATGCGAGAAAATAATAGAATATATAGCGACTGTAAATTATTAGTGACAGGTTCAAGGTTTTGCTCATGTAATACACATATGCAACTTGTGCATTATACGGTCAAAATACACGCGTCGTCGAACTTTTTGCGTCGCATGACACATTCGATCGATTAATCATAGTGTATATTGCAGGAACTCCTGTTCCGAAACGGTCTCGCCTTTCCACTTGACGAATGTTTATGTACTTTGTCAGCGCCTGATGACGTTAATTATCTTGATTAATCACTCTTTTAATGTAATCTTTAATTAAGATTTCTTGCTCCTCTCTGTGAATAAATCCTGTAACGGTACGTAGATAGGTATTTATTTAACTTGAACGGCTTCTTTCATGGACAGTCTCCCCATACGGTAAAATCGATAAAAATTCAATCTGTAATATATTTCATTCATAGGGAAACGAAAGAAATGCAGTATTCATTGTTAGCTACCATTGTTAGCCGCGAAATAAAACTCTTGGACTTTCATCGATCAGAAATCGCACATTTTGTGTATCTTCGTAAATTCTGTCGAATAATGTCGACGTCACGGGGAATCCGTATGCCAATTTCGCATCATTTTAGACGGCAAAGCGAGCCGCGAAATTCGCACTTTTTATTCATTCCTCTTGCCGGATTTCGTTTTGAGCTGAGCTCAGCGCGTGTGATAGATTGTTATATCATGTCGACAGTTTGTAACGCAAAATATATTACATATAAAACACCCAACTGAGTAAAACATTGTCTGTTACGAAAAACTGAAGAATTTATAAATGTTCCGGAAACATTATTTTTGTCTGAAAATATGTATATCTTTCTTTCGCTTTTATTCTAAAAAAAGAAATTGATTTTTATTTATTTATTGCAACCTTATTTAGAATCAAGAAATATTTATAATAACTTTGTTAATATCAATTACGATCATCTCATGATTCGCGAGATGACAGCAATGCGTATGATAACAAACATTAATTTGTAACATCACTTGTAATTTCATTTGTTTTTATTCAAGTCGACACTACGAGTGATGAACATTGCACTATGCCGTAAGTTTTTAGTCTTTGTCACAAGGTGCAATTATGTCGCGCCAATGAGTCAGTCGTGACAAAACGCGTCCGTGTTACTCATACATAAAGAACGTTGACGTAACGGAAGCGGAAGCGCGCCGCGAAAAGACGTGACTGCAAGAGAAATGTGCGAATCGTACGACCGGTATCTTTGTCACGCAAAATCCTCGTCATTAAGTTTCATACTGTACAACAAGAAAACAGAACAAAAGTTTTACAAAAACCTGAAATCATTTTCTTTCGAGCTTACTTATTGCGCTTTTTTACTAAAAGTTTATCTCGTACAAGTTCCTTAATCTCTTTCACGAATCACAATAATATAAACAAATCGAAAATTACTTTAAGTCAAATTTAAATTTTTTTTTAAAGATTATAATTTTGTATTTAGTGCGAAATATAATTTCGTTGACGATAAAATCAAATTTTTGTTTTTTTACTGAAAACATGTATTTTCAAATACAATTTAATGATATAAACTTGATTGAATATTATTTCGAATCGCTTACGAGAAGATTGCAATTTAAATTTGCACCTTTTCGTATAATTCTTAATTCTTAATTTTTCAAATTAGTTTATTTTTTTAAATTAAATTTTGCTACAATCACTTGAGTGTGTAGGTATATTATAGTATAAACGATGAAATACTTATTTAAATTATTAATATAATTAAATATATTAGCCCCCCAAATATAGTAACAGATTTTGATTAAATTAAACATGAAGAACGCATCTGCACAACTTGTAAACCGCGTCGTACTATTTTTCGTTCGACGTCATATGTTTTTTGCGAGAGAAGATTTTCAAATAGAAAATATTTACTGCTCACTCTTTTCGATCTTCTCAAAAGCTACTCACCAATTTATTCTCGTTTTACTTTGTACAGTAACGCAAAATGCACCCGGAAAATTCAATTAATGCGACTGCCTATAGGAGTATGGAGTTTGTCTGTCGGCAACGATGCCGAAAACACTATTTTGTTTTGTAAATTACTTCAAAACTCTCGATAACACAGCATGAGAGAACGATTCTTTTCAACCAACTCTATTAAAACCACCAGAGAGAAAATTTACAGCAGGCAATTCGCCGTTATTGGTTATCTTTTTCTAAGCAGGGATTCTTACAATTGGATCGCATTTTCCTGTCGTTACTTTTTCCTTTGTCACGATCCTTCAGATTTTCTTAGTGCCGCATATTTTATATGCAATCTGTCCGAATAAAGCAATTGTAAGGTTTCTCGCAGCAAAGAAACCTTTACTGCGCGTACATTAAAATCAAATATTTTCTCTTGGAAAATCTTTATTACAATAACAATTTTATATAACTTACAGCTTCAAATTTTAATTTATATCTCTTCTTAATGATGAATAATTTTTAATTTAATTATCCAACTATATTCCTAATTATGTTGCATATCAATATTAAATTGCAACAATTCTAATTTGATTTTTTATACTAAAATTTTACGTTGAACACAATATGAATATTTAAATAATATGATCAAACTTTGTTTTAGTGCTTTTAAAGTTTTTTAAGTGAACATAATACATGTTATCGAGTGCGCACTAGTGAAGTTAAATCGCACGTCCAACTCATTTTGTGAATAAATATTTGTCATATGCGTGTGCTGTTTGCATCGAGTGAAACGTATGACTGAGTTTGCGCATCAACGTGAATGAAATAGATAGGGTAAACCCGGATAAGATGGCTATAGTCTTTTAAAATAAAAAAACGTACCATACTTTTATTTTCGCAATAAGTTCTTTACAGGTTTTAAGACACTTCTAATTAAATTTGAGAGGAAATTATTATTAATTTAGATTGATTGTCTTGAAAGTTCGAAACCAATCGGCGTGCAGTCATATTTCTGAGATAAATTGATTTAAAGTACATATACAAGAGTGTAACTAAAGTAAGATTACAAATTTTAGGTCAAACTCCCCACATCAAAACATATGAAAAAATCATATGAAAATCCCCCCAAATCATATGAAAAGAAGTTCATATGAACGTATGTCCGCAAACTCATTGTTACTGAGATATAGCTGTAAATGTTTATTAATAAAGGTGAAAATAAATAAATTAATATTTATTATTATTTAATATTATTTTATATATATTTAATAAGTGGAGCTTTTCGTATATTGATGTTTATATAATGGACTTGTTTCTAATTTTATTACTTTTATTTTTGTTATTTTTTTAATGTATTTGATGCATATAACTTCACTAAAGTTTTTAAAATAATAAATACTATCGAAATTAAAAAGAAAACATTTAACAGAAATTTAATATTATCAACATAGTATAATGTATGCATGTTAATCATCTTTCCTAAATTTTAAGGATAAGTTATGCCACGATATACCATATATATATTTTTTTTATGTTAAAGATGCATGTAACATTTTAAAATGATAAATAAAACTTATGATTCCATATATTTAATACAAATATATATATATATAATTATATTGCAATAGTAACATAAAAATTATTAAATTCTTATAGACTAAGGAAACCAAACAAAGATTTCTATAATTTAAAAAAGATTGTGTGTGTGTGTGTGTGCGTGCGTGCGTGCGTGCGTGCGTGCGTGCGTGTGTGTGTGTGTGTGTGTGTGTGTGTGTGTGTGTGTGTGTGTGTGTGTGTAATTGTGTATATGTGTGTTACTTAGTAAATGGCTATCTTTCCCGAACTGTGATGGAAGAATGGTGATAGTATTTATAATATAAATAAATAGTGTGTGTGTGTGTGTGTGTGTGTGTGTGTGGAAATGAAAATACAAATTATAGGTCATATTACAATTTATGTATTTTTATGTATTTTTATTATGTATATAACGTTGAATACATAGCTTAGCTGTAATTTATTCGATGTTATAGCAGCTTTTAGTGGATACATGCAAAACTTTTCAGACAGTCAAAAGTAAAAATATTACGTAATATTCATAATATTGTTATTTCGAGTGTACTGAAATAGTACGCACATAAACTACTGTAAATATTGATTATCTTTGAGAACGATTATAAAAATGCACTATTTAGCAATTATTGGAGAAATTACAGTTTATGGCCATCTTTTCCGTATGGAAATTACCCGAGTTTACCTTATAGGATGTGTGTGTATGTGTGTTGATACGAGTTATATTTAAAGAGAGATATATATATATATATATATGTATATATAATAAACACTCTGAAAAAATTCATAGTTAACAATGAGCAAACCAATAGATTCTGATTATATCAATTAAAATTGTGGTCGTTATAATTGGACTTAGTTATTTCGACTAGAATTATAATAGGTTTAATTATAAAATTCTGATTTGTCTATATTTTCCAATTAATGCAGCCCAGACTTTTTTCAATGTATATATATGTACATATCGACAACGTAGCATCAATAGTATCATCATTGAACATTGTTTGTACTAGAAATAATATTTTAATAAATATGAAATTTAATAAATAAAGAAATGGAACGATGTAACAAACATAATTATTAGTACGTAAAGTTAGAAAAATAATGAATCGTAAACAATTAATTATACGTTCTCTAACAAAAATGAGCGAATAAATCGTAAATTAATGAATAAATATTATCTTAACAAAGAGAAATGTAATTATGTGCATCTTATTATCCTTATATTACAACTGAATCAAAAGTTATTAAGTTTATATGAAGAAAAATATATCATAAAAAATATATTATATATCTTGAATTATAATTATATACGACACAATACATGTATCACGTAATTTTTGTAGTACTTGTATAAAATAATAATGATTTGTGTTTTTTTTTTTGCAGGATGAAAAGAACCAAATACTTACGACCAACGCATGGTTGAAACTGGTGAGTGCAATCAAATCTTTTTGTTTTTTCCTTGTTCAACTAATTCGTTTAAGAAGAAATTGTTTATGTAGTTTATTTTAAATTTTAAGATTCGAATATTTAAAAAATCTTTAAAAGAAGATTTCATTAAAATGAGGCAACAAATATAAGACATAATGTTATTTATTTGCATGATATTCATTTTTTGTAAAACTATTTGTTTAAAATTCTTGCTGAGTAAAAGCCTCTTTGATAAAAGTTTGTATACTCGACAGAAGAGAAAAATACTGTAATGGATGTTATCCATTATCAATGTTTACGATTGGTACCTTTAATGGTTGTTGGGTAAAATAAATATAAGAATTAATCTTAGAGAGTCGACAAAGCAAGTTTCTAAGCTTTTGGAAAACAAACGTTTTTTCAATTATGCAACTATAAATATACGCGAATATATTGTTACATAAACGATAAATATACGGTTACGTGCACAGATTCTTCTGTGCATCTTCTCGTAGCTTCATGTTACGTTGGAGCAAATGACACGTTGAAAATGCGTTCGCGGTAATTCTCTCGGCGAAATAGCCAGTTAACAGAAAATCAATAACTACACCGGTTACTTTTCCATCGCCTGCGGTCTTCCCATTTACGAGAATGCGTTGTAATATCGCTGATAAAAAATACATCTGCCGTCGCAACGTGCATGAAAGGGAAAGAATGCAGTAAAAATTTAAGTGGGTATATCCGGTTAGGCTGAATAATTATATTTTAAATCCAATTGGTATGAAATACAAAAAAATTAGGAAAATTTTTTGCAACGAAATTTTTAAGAAAGATTTAATTGAGCGATTTTGTCAGATATTTGTGTAGAAATGTTTTATTTCATTTATGAGTCAAATTAGAGACTTATAAATCAAACTGGAAGAATTTTATTGAAATTTTTTGTCGTGCTCGTACCCACAGTTGCATTTATCATTTTAAAGTTCTCAAATTAATGTTTTAAAGTTTAATTTTAATTCTAATACGTTAATATTAAATAACGTATTTAATTTTTATATGGTTTTATGCTTAATGTAAAATACAGAAAAATGTGTTACGATAGTCAACATTATTATTCATATTTAATTACAAAAACTGTGTGTAAGCGGAACAATCGTTATTAATATTTTAGGATTAAATTCATAGTTGGAGAATTGGTTCCTGCTCGCGCACGCGTCACTTTTATGCGTAAATAACTCGTACGGCAGATCGATTCACAGATTCTTTCGATATATACCGATCGAATCGTGTGAGTGAGCAATCAGTAGATTAGAAACTCAAGAATGCAGCGGCTGCTATTGTCGTTTCGTCTCCTTATGCATCGACTGCTTCGTAGGCGAGCATCCGCGCCAGACAACCGCTTCTTCTTTATCTCCCTAAAAAGGTACTCCGTGTTTCCCTCGGGTGCAAAAAAAAGGCAAAGGCACTGCATGGGAGTAAGAATGTGAGAATAGGCGGGTTAAAGGAGGGTGCTGTAGGGTAGATAAGGACGCGATAGAGATGAGTTCGAGAAAATCGAGAAAGCAGAAAAATGCACTCTGAAATCACGATCCCCTCACTATATTTCCCTCCCTTCGCTTTGCCCTTTTTCCTATACTTGTTTTTTTTTATGGCGAGATGGAAGGCATATCGAATTGTTCCTTGTCTTAATATCATCTGGCATAATGGAATAAAATCGAAGGGGACACGAACTGTTGGCACATGTTTGTGATACGTCATTCGAGTTTTCGGAAAAGTAGTTTGACGAACATCGCGAACGTGCGATATCATAAACGTAGTCTAGCTGTCTCTTTCTTTGGCTGCAGCATTTGGTCGCACTGATGCATCAAACCGTCTGCCTGCAAAGTAAATTATCTTTTATGCAGCTGGCGGACGGTGATTAATTATTTACTCTATTTGCGTTCAACGTCTACGCCGGTCGCGAGATAATCCGGCTCGACTTTTTCATCGCGAGCTTTTCGCAGTTTCGTTCATGGTTACTGAAAATTCTTGAAAAAGCCGGGTACACATAACTAGCTATAATTAATTTTGGATTTCACGATATCAACGGGGCGCTCCAATGCCTCCCCGTCGCTATAATTCTTATCTCGTTCGTATATCACGTAATGTCGATATTATCTTCTGAGTTTATCGCCACTTTATTGTCCTTAAGGAATTGATTTTTGATGAAGAGAAATGTCTCTTTTCTGCCTCTTGTGTGCTTCCACCTTGATGTACCTTTCATCTTCTTTTATTCACTTCGTTCTCGACTCTTTTTCTTTCTTCTATTCGTAGATTTCGATTGTATCTTTTTTATGAAGATTGCTCTTTTTGCTCGAACCAATCTGCTAGTAAAGAACAGTTGAAAAATCACAGATAGCTGTGAAGTTCTTCTCGGTAATATTGAGCCAAAAAGGAGAAAAATGCTTATAAAGGAAACGCTTCACTGTCGATTCATTAGCACTGAAGCGTTATATCCTAATTCTTTTAAATTTATAAACCCCCCTCTTTTTGTACATCTTTATATATGGAACAAATTATCGGTATTAATTCTAATTAAAATCTTAACTATTTTCATGCGATAATACTCGAGATGTATTCTGTAAAAAGTAGACAGTACGAATTCCAAAATTGTTAAAGCTTAAATTGAAATGAAGAATTCATCCTCGTCTCATAATGTAAGACAGCGAGCTATTATTTATCACATAAACTGCCTTCAAGATAGTCAATCAAAACTTTCAAATTTACTAAGCAAAATGGAATTTTAGAACAGTACTTGATAGCAATCTCGTATACGTTATAAAAGCATATTTAACGTAGGGGAGACCGGGATCAGTAAACTATAGGGGTAAGTAGAATAATCGAGGCTACGTTATAAACAAATCGCGCAAGACACGCGTAAACCCGTACGCTGAGCACGTAGCAGCGACTGCCGCTCAGTCTGCTGTAACATCTCGTTACTAACACATCTATGATAGAAGTTACGCTACAATTTAAAAAAATCGTACAGTATAAAAATCGTAAGTAAACATTTTTATTCTTAAAGTTTTTGTTTTACAATCGTATATAATTGTCTGAGATATTTTATTTCCATTTAGATAGTAAACGTATAGTTCTTACTTAATAAAGTCCAACAGATTTTTTTTGTTTATCTGTCTTTGTTATATACTGTTAATGTTTTTAAAAAATGAACGGATGGGGTTAGTAGCTACCACATAGTGCTAACCACAATACGGGGCTAATAACAATATGACAAACAAACATGTATAAATATTCATAAACATATATAATATAATTATATATGAAACATATCCATATATGTTCATACATCCTTCTTTCTTTGGTAAAATTATTTTTAAGTGTAATAGAATTAGTAATAATAATGTGAAAATATTAAGAATAATTAAAAGGATAATTTTGTGAACATGTGTGTGGATACTCTAAATGCATAAAGGGTAACTTATCGTATTATGTTTGTTATAACTGTAATTCGGATAACGATTCGAATTAGATAAATTGTCATTTAGTACAAAGTTATACATTTTTTATTTTATAATAAATATGTTTGTGTTTAAAATACATTTTTATAAAATTTTTGTTATTATGTAGTCAAAGACCTTAAAATTTTTATTAATCTTCATTTTAATAATGTTAATTAAATTACCCCATACCATCAGTTATTTTATCCCGGTCCCGGGGCTAATTAAATCAGATGGAATGCATTAGAAAAATGCATTTTTTTTTCATAGTAATTATCAGTTTTCCCTTATTATTAAAATATTATTAGATAGTCAAATGTATGTAGTAACTGAATTCATTTTTTCGATAAGTCTCTTAATTTCGTCTATAAAAATTTGAAACTGAAAAATGAGTTACTATCCCTGGTCTCCCCTACTTAATAGGTGTATTACGTAATAGAAAAATATTATTAGAATCGCAAAAAAACTATTGGAAATAATTGAGAAAACTATTCGAATGAAAAATGCATACTATTCGTTCCAAGTTTTTTTTATTAATTCAATAGTATGTTTCCACAAGGGGTACTTCACTATTACTGCTTATGAATATGAATATACGTGTAAGGCAATATCGTTGTATATTAGAAAAATAACTTAAATACACGTATACACATGCACGCACACACACGCACGCACGCACACGCACACGCGCACACACACGCACACACACACACGCACGCACACACAAAAAATATATATATGAGTAATCTGTTTTTTAATACTATCGTTTTCCTCGATAAGTCGTTATCTTAACTACATGTGTTAGCAAACCTACAAGAAAACATGATGTTGCAAGTAGCACTCTTATAAAATTTGTTATTTATCAAGCCGGACTCTTTCAGTTTGTTGAATAATTTATTGACAGATAGCCGATACGCAGCTGCGCGGTTTCGAGAATAGGTTAATAATATAATGCACTTTATTCGCACGAATTCATATTGGAGTAGCGTATAGATCGGGGTAATATTAATCAACGTTCCAAATCTACATAATGAACGAATATGTAGACCGTAATAGAGCAGAAATTTCTTTATATAATGCTAATTTTAGCAAGATTCTCATATTGATGCTATTACATTAGAGCTATCTATTACACATAAACAAAATTAATTAATTTAATTAACCCTAGAACACTATCGATATTGAATGATACTGTTGCTATTGATACGTAAATTTTTCGTACAAGAAAATAGACCTTAATTAATGTAACACAAGATTTTCGTACATTTCACACTTCTAACAAAATACTTATAATTTGGACTTTTATAAACACTTTTATATAAATAATGTAATTATTAATTTAAAAGGAAAGAAAAAAATAAGCATAATATAAATTTAATTTTTAAATAATATAGAGTATAGTGTTTAGTATTTTTTAATAACACACACACACACAGTTCAATAAAATATGTAATAACACAAAACAAAGTGTCTTATAAGACCGTAATGTAATTAGACAACGAATCGAAAATAAAGACCCTAAACAGT